GAGACTGCGGCAGTGTTCAACACCACTGAGACCAAGATCTTGCTGTTTGCTTACCAGGTTTTCGGCTCCAGCTCCACAACGCTTGCAGTGGAGTATGAGATGGCAGCGGATGACTGGCACACTTTGTGGCTGAACTCGTCCGACCAAAGTGGTGTGTGGCAGCAGGCCGCAGTCCTCGTGCCGGTCTCGACCACGGGGCTGCGCTTGTCAGGCAACGTTGCCAATGCATCAGACGTGGTGCGAGTCAAGTCCTTGCAGGCATCATACCTGCAGCAAACGGGAGATATAGCCTGCGGTTTCGAGGCCGACCTTTGCTCATGGTACAGTAACGGCGAGCAAAGCTGGCTGCGCAATTCCGGACCCACTCGTTCTTCCTATACGGGACCCGAGCAGGCCGCGGAGGGCACGTGGTACGTTTACACAGAGGCCATCTCTGCCTTTGACAAGGCAGGACCGTGAGTTAGGGCATTTGGGGAAGAGCAGACACGACCGCAATGTTGCGTACCCCTGCAGGATTTCGTCCTCACTAGTTCGGTCTTTGAGGCCTCGCCGGTAACCCGATATTTCCACTTCTATTTCCACATGCTCGGGACCAGCATGGGCAGCTTGCACGTGGAGAGCTTAGGAAACGCTGGTTGGACACAACTTTGGTCACGAACAGGAGCCCAAGGCAGACAATGGGTCCTTGCCTTGGTAAGCTTGCCGCAGGACGCCATGTCCGTGCGATTCGTGGGCACAACAGGAGACGGTTTCAGAAGTGACATGGCCGTGGATGGCATTGCCGCAGGGCTACCCACAGTGGAAGACTTCCGCCAGTTCTCATGTGATTTCCGATTCGACACATGCCTTTGGATCAACACTGGCACCGCTTCGTGGCAACATGTGGCAGGGCCAGGCGAACATGATCGGTGGCTGGAAGTCGCCGGCAATGGATCCCAAGCCCAGCAATGCACCCTGGAGACTGCGGCAGTGTTCAACACCACCGAGACCAAGATCTTGCTGTTTGCTTACCAGGTTTTCGGCTCCAGCTCCACAACGCTTGCAGTGGAGTATGAGATGGCAGCGGATGACTGGCACACTTTGTGGCTGAACTCGTCCGACCAAAGCGGTGTGTGGCAGCAGGCCGCAGTCCTCGTGCCGGTCTCGACCACGGGGCTGCGCTTGTCAGGCAACGTTTCCAATGCATCAGACGTGGTGCGCGTGGGCTCCTTGTTGGCCCTCGAGCCGGCCGCAGCCTTTGCCAACATCAGCTGCACCTTCGAGCACAACTCAGCCTGCAAGTGGGCAGGGGCCTCTTGGAAGATTCATAGCAGCACTGGCGACAGCTACGTCCGTCTCGAAGTATACCTGGGCCAGGCAAGCCACAAAGGTTTCTGCAAGCAGGTCTTTAGTTGAAAGTCTGTTGGCCCAGCTTTGCGTTCATCGTCCAACCCTGAAGGCTGAGGCTGGGGCTCAGGTCTTCCTGAGCCCGCACTTCCCGAGGCTTGCACACACATCCTACCTGGAGTTCAGCTACAACATGTTCGGTGGTGGCGTTGGGACCCTGGAACTCCAATATTTCCGTAGTGGCAGGTGGAGCACGCGCTGGTCGCGTCAGGGCTCTCAGGGAAGCGACTGGCTGCGGGCCAAAGTGACACTCCCCAGCGGAGTCGAAGTACTGCGCTTCCGGAGCTTCCGAAGCGCTGCCAGTACCGACTCCGATGTAGCCCTCGATGCTATCGTTGCCTGGGAGCCAGAGGTGGCACCTCAGAAGTTCCTCAAGCTCTGTTCCGCCGGCTACCACAACTGTGCCCTGCTTGAAGCCGAAGGCCAGATGAAATGCTGGGGTACTGATAACTTTGGCTGCCTGGGCTCAGGCAGTGAGGCTGGTTTGGGCGTGGGTGACGCCCCGAATGAGATGGGAGCGAACTTGCCACTGGTTGACCTTGGCGAACCGGCAATCCGCGCGACGCAAGTTGCCTGTGGCGACCATTTTAGCTGCGCAGTGCTCAAAACTGGCAGCATCAAATGTTTCGGTCAGAATGGCTTCGGGCAACTTGGCTACGGACACACGGACAACGTCGGCGACGAGCCCCTGGAAATGGGAGGGCACCTGCCGGTCGTCGACCTGGGCGGCCTGGATGTGGTACAGCTAGCTCTCGGCTTTTGGCACAGCTGCGCACTACTCGCGGGAGCGACCGTCAAGTGCTTCGGCCGCGGCTTTGTCTTGGGCTTGGGAGACACGCGCTGGCCCCAGAGCCTTTGAGCGCCGCCACAGCCATTCCTTAGAGTAAATTCCGCACTTTGCAAAGAGCTGAGGCAAAATCGTGGCGACAACCCGGGCGAGATGGGGTCGGAGCTCCCCGCCCTCGACCTCGGCACGGACTTTGAACCTGTGGAGCTGACTGCCGGGGCTTACCATACCTGTGCACTGTCACGCCGCGGGACTGTGAAGTGTTGGGGTTACGCTTACCTTCTTGGCCTGGGATGGTCTGCGGCGGCAGGCTACATCGGCAGCAGGCCCAATGAGATGGGCGATTCTCTGCCTACGCTGGACTTGGGAGCACTTCCCGCCGTGCAGATCTCTGCAGGCGTGGTGCACACCTGCGCAGCCGCTCGCCTGCATCCTCGGGGTTTGCTGGCTCGTGATCCAGGCGGTCATTCCTGCAACTCTGTGCATGTGGTGTCTTCTGTCAGGTTTTGGTCGATGGCTCGGCCAGGTGCTGGGGCGAGAGTGATCTCGGGCAGCTCGGGCACGGGACGACAGAACCAGGCCACGGTGCTGGAAAGGAGGGAATTGATGCCTCTGAACTAATTGAATAAAGATTGTGAGCACTGCGCTCTGCCGCCTTAGCGGCTGGATAGATGTAATTCCAGAATGACGCGTGGGAGGGAGGGAGGGAGAGAGGGAGCGAGGGAGACTATGCTGAACTGGCTTTGTGTCGGGATACTATGCGGTATACTTGGTTGGTTGCTCCGCGGCTTCCTACACACCGCAAGCTCAAGCAGCAGCCACTGCTGATGTCATGTATCCTTGCAAGTCTTTCCGTCTCTTGACGGAAGACTACAGCTGGACACAAAACTTTCACTCGAAACAGAGCCACAGTGGTTTCCTGGGCTGGCTGAAATTCTACAGCAGTGGTTGGTTGGTCCGTTGGTTGCTTGCTTGCTTGCTTGCTTGCTTGCTTGGTTTGTTGGTTGGTTGGTTGTTTTTGGTTGGTTGGTTGGTGCGTTGGTGCGTTGGTTGGTTGGTTGGTCGGTTGGTGGGTTGGTTGGTTGGTTGGTCATTTTTGGTTGGTTGGTTGGTTCTTTGGTTGTTTTTGGTTGGTTGTTTTTGGTTGGTTGGTTGCTTGCTTGCTTGGTTTGTTGCTTGCTTGCTTGGTTGGTTGGGTTGTTTGTGGGTTGGTGGGTTGGTGGGTTGGTTGGTGCGTTGGTTGGTGGGTTGGTTGGTGGGTTCGTTGGTTGGTGGGTTCGTTGGTGGGTTCGTTGGTTGGATGGTTGGTTGGTTGGTTGGTCGGTTGGTCGGTTGGTCGGTGAGGATGATGATGACGGCGACCCTACGACATTTTACGATGTTTCTTGGTTTTGGCTGTCCAGGCCTGCTGCTTCCGCTCCTTCCGGTGACAGACCTGGGCGAGGGGGCGAGAGTGGTTCGCATCGCAACGGGCGAGTATCATTCTTGTGCCATCCTGCAAGATGCAACCCTCAAGTGCTGGGGCTGGGGAGTCCATGGCCAGCCTAGGCCTCGGTCCCTTTTTCGCATTGTGTGTCACAGCTGCATCTCTCTTTCAGTTCGCTTCATTGGCCCGAGCTACAAGAGTTGTGGTGTGTCCGTGAGCCCAAATCGTCAAATCCCATCGACATCCGAATGCCTCTTGGCCTGACCTTTCACTCTTCAAGCAAGTAACTCTCACCGTGGCACTGTTCCTTGACAGGGTCGGCTAGTAATGGGCTCAGTGAAACAACGTCTCACGATTCCACGTGTTCCACGAGCATCCATGAACCCACTGATGTGTACAGACCGGGCGGATTGAGTGAGCGCTTGTGAGCGGGCACCTTTGATGCACGCAAGTTGGCCGCACCACCCTAATTCAGCATGAAGGCCAAGTCAACTCCGAGATCTTCAGGGCAGTGTTGCCGATTCTGAGATTTCATTTTTGAGGGTACTTGGCTGATGAAAAGAGATGCCAGTCACAGGCATCTCAATCGGCTACTACGCATCTAGGACTCCGAGAGGCAAATAGCGTCCTTGTCCGAAGACTTGTGTACAGCGCAGAGTGCTTTTTGCAGAAAGGAGAAATAACATGAACAACATTGATTCAGAGCTTTCGTGTGGAACTGGCTCCCGACCGGAAAGTGCTATGGACCAGAACTTGCAACACTTCAAGCGATGCTCTTGTTGTTGCCGTTGATGTGTTTTTGGAGCGTTTGCCGAGGCTCGGCCAGGGAAACACTGAGTCCCTGGGCGACGAGCCTGGGGAGATGGGCGACAACCTGCAGAATATCGGGTTGGGCAACCATGAGGTGCTGGACGTGATCGCCGGCTTCGGCCACACCTGCGTGCTGCTGGACGACGACAGCACAAGGTGCCAAGGTCCCAGAACCCTGCAGTTCCCAAGCCAGAACCGCGTAGGCTTCGGAGATGTTTGTGTGTTCCAGCAAGCTCAAGGTGGAGAGGAGTTAGCGGATGAAAGTAATGCTAAGTCATGATAACATCTAAACCTGACGTGGTGGGGAGTCTCCCTGCTGCTCCCTGACCATTTGGAGCCTGCTCGGGTCACTCAGGTGCTGGGGCCTCAGCGACAACGGGCAGCTGGGCCAAGGCAGCAGTGACAGCATCGGGAAAATCCCGGGCCAGCTGGGAGAAGCTTTGGTGCCTACTGAGCTTTTTCCCATCACGCTCCGTTCCGGCCTGGAAGGCCTTGGCCTCAGAAGCAGCGAGGGCTCCACGGGCTATTTACAGGTTCAGCACAACGGTTCCCTGGGCTTGATCTGCGATGATGGCTTCAACGATGCTGCGGCGCAGGTTGCCTGCCGTGATCTCGGCATGGCAGGCGGCAAGGCCATGTCGGCTGATGCCGGGACCGGCACCATCCTCGCAGACAACATCAGGTGCACAGGCACCGAAGCGAGCCTCCGCGAGTGCCACTTCAGAGGCTGGCATTTGCATGACTGCACTCTGCAAGAAGCTGCAGGCAGGAAACTGTGCAGCAGATGCCTCCTGCACTCTAAAGCTTGCACGACTAAGCTTCTGGCATGATGACGCCCAAACCTGACTGACTGCTACATGTCTTGCAAATGCACGGCTTGCAAACATCAGTTCCCGTACCCACGGGTATGTTGCATGGGAGATACAGACACATATCGTTGTCATGCGGACATGAGCAACCTCGATGTTTGCAGGGTTTGTTTGCGGCTTTCGTGCCTGTAGGTGTCCAATGCGAGCTGGACGCATGGAGCGAGTACACAGCAGCTGTCAGTCCAGCAGCACGCCAAGACGCTTCCCTTGTTTGGGACACGGAGACCCAGTCCGCACTGATGTTCGGTGGACATGCCAGCAGCGCATTTCTATACTTTGCCGACCTTTGGCGCTACGACTGGCCGCAGCGTGCATGGTTCCAGATCTTGAGTGAGGACTCCAGGCAGGGTGGGATGCCGAAATCGAGAAGTAAGACCTAATACACATTTCCAAGCCTTTAAGTGAGTATACAGTTCAAAAACATTGAAATAGAGAGTGCAGAAATGTGGAAGTGAACATCAAGCTGGGCCGACCTGGTGTCTTGAGGGGCTCCATGCTGAAACAATGTAGTCATGGTCATGCATGTGGTATCTTGCCCCAGAATTCTCAAGTATAAACCCTAAAGCGTAAACCCCAAACTCTGATGGTTTGGCACAGTGAATTAGTCTAAAGTGTTTATTGTACTTGCTCCAGCAATTGCGTCAGAACCCGCGTGCGCAGGCCCACGCCGAGCGCTAGATGGGGGCATACAGCCGTGTGGGACGCAGCTTCCAGGTGTATGTGGATCTTTGCGGGCAGATTTCTCGCGGCTTTCTACAACGAAGTCTGGCGAATTTGCAATGAATACTACGTGTGGGCACAGGTCACTACCTTGTCACCGCCGCCCGCCCGGGCACACCACACTGCAATCCTTGACCCGCAGGATCGTGCATTACTGATTTTCGGAGGGGAAAGCAGCAGCCAAGTGCTAGGCGACCTACAACGCTTGAGCTTTCTTGATGGTCAGTGGAGCAAGTCTTCCGCGCTAGGGCCTGAAGCCCGCAGCCATCACATCGCTGTATGGAACTCCATGACGCGGTCGATGCTCATCTATGCTGGCTGGAGCGGTCAGCAGTACCTGGATGGGCTCCACACCTATGATGCCTCAGCAGACCGCTGGACTAACGTTCCAGCAGCTGCGGATTGGCCTGCTGCCCGTGGTGGGCACGCATCTGCCTGGGATCCCATTTCGATGAGCATGCTAGTGATGGGCGGAATTCAGAACGTGAGCGGCTCGCAAGGCTACGACGCTACGCTGTACAACTACAGCCTTCTGACCGGGTCTTGGTCGGAGAAAGCTTTCCAACCAGGCGCATTTGGCCCATCTGGCCGCACAGGCCACGCCGCTATTTGGGACGAGCACTCTCGCGGACTCCTGTTGTTTGCTGGCTTTAACTCCTCGTACCTACAGCAGACTTGGCGATACGTGGTCGGCCACACTAGCATGCCCTTGGTGCAGAGCTGCAAGCTAGGACTCGACTGCCGGGTCAATTTCAGCAATGTCTCTGGCAGCATAGCTGTCAAACGCAGTTGCTCCGACACCGTTTTCCTAAAAGATCTACAACCTTTGCAGCACTCTGACGAGGTTATGCATGATCAGTGGATGCTCGGAAGCCTTTCGCCCCTCTCTGTGGAGCCAGGACAGCACAGACTCTGCTGGTGTGACGGGAACTGCGACCAAGCTCTGAACTTTCAAACCGCCGTAGGCTTCCTACTTATTTTGGGGCCCCACCCGAATCAGACCGGGCTGTGCGAGCTAAGCTCAGTCTGCACAATTCCCCAGTGGCGGGGCCTGGGCATCTCCGAGAATGACAGTCTGATGATACAGAGCGAGTGCATGAACCAGGAGCCAGCTCCAAGCTACCATCAGCATCGTATCGTGACCATTTCCTTCAATCAATCCTATGGCTGGCATACGCTGCACTTCGGATTTCTGGACCCTGCAGAGGGGCTGAAATCAGAGCGCCTCGAATTATGCTGGTGCCCAAGCGATGAAGAATGTTCCGTGGAGGACTTTACAGTGGTCGCCTTGCGCCTCGACATCATTTGCCCACCAGGGCAGTACAGAGGGCCGGACTCCAGCTGCCTGCAATGCCCAGAGGATCACTTCTGCCCCGGAGGCGCAGCTTTGCGCAGCTGTCCGCTTGCCAGCACCTCATCAGCAGGCTCGCGTGGGCTGCCCAGTTGACGCGTCCAGACTCAGCCCACTACACTTCCTGTGGTACGCGTCACTGTCTTGCTGTCGCAGTCCACATCAAAATCAGCAAACAGCCTTGCGCTACCGAGGTGAGCTTTTGGATTGCAAGTGCGTACTTGGACGTTACTGGAGCACTGACAGCGCTGCCTGCTTGGCATGCCCAGCTGGCTCTTCGACGTCGCAGGTGGGGTCCGGGCTTGCAGAGCATAATTCAGTCAAGTCGTTTGCTCTGAATGCCATAATCCAGGGACTTTGTCCTTTCTGTGTAAATTGACGTATTTCTGCTTAGGGCAATCCCGTGAGTATGTACATATGGTGGTTGCCAGTACGTGAAAACCCTGGTTCACATACTTATAACAGTCTTGGGTGCGCCTGATGTTTTGGTTTTCCGGCTTCAGTTTGTAATAGCATGTGTTGGGTCAATCCCTCTTACTGCTTTGCAGCAACAAATCCCTCAGCAGGGAATAACAGGGCTCCTTTTTCTACAGTCTGTTAGGCACTGACGCATGCTAGGAGGGAGCCTCCAACGTGACGGCCTGCACCTGCATGCCGGGCTTCGTCAGCATGCAGCCCGACGACCTCGCAGCTTGTGAACCCTGTGGTGTGGGCTTTTTTTGCACCGGCGCTGGGCACCGGCAGCAATGCAAGGAATTCCAGACCACAGTGGCCGACACGACGGCCACGCAGTCTGAATGCGTTTGCAAGCAAGGCAGATTTCTGGAAGATGATTTCTGTGCCCCATGCCCAGCCGGGCGCTTCAAGGCAAGCATCGGAAACTCGGCATGCGCCAGCTGTGCTGCGAACACCCTCGTCAATGATACTGGGCGCAGCCATCCTTGCCAATGCGTTCCTGGCTATGGCTACGATGAGGAGACGACGCTGTGTACTGTTTGCCCTCCTGGCGAGCACAAAGTCACAGTTGGCAACTTCGTTTGCACTCGTTGCCCAAATGACAAACTATCCGTATCGGGAGCCACGTCTCCCTTGGAGTGTCACTGCCGGCCTGGCTCGGTCGAGGAGGGCGATGCATGCCGTCAGTGCTCAGAAGGCTTTTTCTGCAGCGGTGAAGGCGTGGAGGTGCCCTGCCCTACCGGCGCCACTTCCCGCGCTGGATCAAGCACCCGGGAAAGTTGCTTATGTCTTCCGGGCTATCACAAGGCAGATGCAGAAGGCATCTGCACGCTTTGTGAGCCTGGGCGCTACAAGCCAACACTTGCCAATGATGCATCGTGCCCCTTACAGTGCCCCACAAACGGCCAGAGCGCCATCGGAGCTACGAGCCTCAGCAACTGTTCCTGCGCAGCAGGATTCTATGCTGAGCTTGATTCGGCTGGCTTCATAGCCAGGTGTGCCAGCTGTCAACCTCTCCCTCACCTGCGCTGTCTCGGAGGTTTCCATGGTGAAACCGGCCGACACAGAGTACCTGTTGCCCAGCCGGGCTATTTCCAGACAGGCGTCACGTTAGCTGCGAAGTGCAGCGTTGTCACTGCTGATGGCCTCAGCGTGTGCTTAGGTGGTGATTCCTGTGTAGTAGATGACAAGCACGCGCAATGCGTTGGCAAGTACGGCAACAGATGCGATGAGGGATCCACTGGCATGCTATGTGGCGAGTGTTTGCCAGGCTGGGCAAGGAGCGGCTTACAGAAGCCCTGCCAGCTCTGTGAAGCTGGCGCTACTTGGACTCTGATTGCGGCAGCCATGGTCGATGTTGGGACGAAGGTCGCGTGCAAACTTCACGTATTTTCATAGCGTCATCAGAAAACAGGGGTGGGATTGGGATTGACCTCTAACTTTGAATTCCTGTGCAGATGCGTGAGCTCGCCCTGGCCAGTCACGATGGAACTTGCAAGTGACGCGGGTAGGTAGGCGGGTCTAGCGCAGCGCATACATTCGGCCGCCTTTGGTGACCTGGCAGGTGAGCATCAACTTTGTCGTGGCATCCATGGCAGCGACAGCAGCAGTCAGAGCGACCCACAAACTTCACACGACAATGATCCGCCTGGTCACCCATTGGCTGGCTGCTTGCTCTGTCCTCGCAACCTTCGACCTGACGCAGATTCCGCTTCAGACAGAGATTGAGACCATTGGAGAAGAGGAGAGCCGACGCTTCCCCTGGCCTGCAGAAGTCACCACAGCGATGTTGCGCTTTTTTGAGACAATGACCCTGACGCCGGCATTGACCTCTATCGACTTAGCCGCGCAGTGCCTCGCTCAGGCAAGAGAGCATGGATAGATGACGATGTGAGAAATGGATGGGGATTCAGACTGATTTGATGTAGGCATCGGAAGCGGGACATTGCTAGAGGCTTTCGTCCTTAGTCAAGACCTGACCAGGAGCTGTTTCCACAGATTGGCAGAACTGCCCCGCGCATCGCTGTCGCCGTGTACCACCTGTCCCTTCCCGTGCTGGTGATGCTGGGGGTCTTAGCCCTGTCCCTCCTCGCAGTCTACATCGTGGCCCCTGCTGGGCATCGCTTGGGATATTCCTTCAGCGAAGCTGGCCGCAGGAGCCACAGACGAGGCAAACATCTCAAGCGCCTGCGCGAGGCAGGGACTCGCATTCTCGAGGAGACCTTTCCAGACACTTCAAACAGAATGAACTGGTCAGATTTCGAGGCTGCCGGTGCTGTGCAGAGACTTCGCACGGAAGAGCAACTGCAGAGCGCCGCAGAGGACCCGGATGCTTTTCTTTGCGAGTCTACAGTCCGGTCCCGGGCGCTGCTGCTCCATGCCTGCATTGCGCGCACTGCCGCGGATCAAGAAGCCACGGCGCACCAACGTCGCCAAGCACTCGCGCAGGCAGACCTCGCTCCCTTCCTCACGAGGGACTTTGCCAATCAGGCCGCAAACTTTGCCAGCATGCTGGACGACGTCATTGCCAAAGCGCGTGCCGATGCCAACGAGCACTCTGTCCTCGAGGTTGCCAGCGAGTGTGAGAGCGGCCCTGGGCAGAAGCCAAGTGTGCAAAGTGCCGACATCGGAGACACCATCAAGACGCAGCCCGCAGACCGGAGGCCCGCTCCCCAAATACTGAGTGGACGTGATCCCTTGCCTGCTTTGCTTCCTGCTTTTAACGCTACAACAAGACCATTGCACGGACCGAGGCCTGACGGGGAGCAGCCGCTGCCGCCACGCATATCTGAGGGCAAGGTAGACCTGATGGTGGACGAGGCGCGCCCCACACAAGCTAGACCAACAGAACTCAAGAGGCCTCGATCCTAGATTCGTGGAGCAGCTGCTGGCCGCACGCCCCGTTATGTCTTTGAACAGGTCGCAGACGCTCTGGAGTTTGGCCTCTTCTCGGCAGCGCCACGCTTCGGCGAACTGGCATACCAGAGCATGCCCATCATTTGGGTGAGCTTGGTGGCCTTGTGGCCTGGGCTGCTGTCCAGCTTTCTCAGCATGATATGGTGCGTCCCCATCAGGGAGGACGGCCTGGTAGTGAGCCGCCTCCTGCCCAATCCATCAGTGGTTTGCTGGTCCGACGAGCACATGGCCTCCGCCAGGTTCGCCCTTGTCGGGCTGGCCGTGTGGTGCTTAGGCATCCCATTGACGTTGGCCATCAGGCTGCTGTGCCTCCATGATCGGCAGGCTCCAGAAAACTTCAGGCGCCCTTTTTCTGAGTGCATCAACGGGAGGGAGGAAGAGAGAGAGATGAACCCAACCTTGAAGATGGCAGGCGCTATGGATATTTCTACCAGGGGCTGGAGCCGCGCATGTGGTGGTGGGACCTTATCATCAAGCGCATGGACGTGGCCACGATGATGCTCATTACATATACTTCGGTCGTGCTGGACCCGAGCGCCAAGCTCATGCTATTCCCAGCTCTCTCGGGCTTCCAGGTGCGGGCCGCATGAAATCGCATGAACATGTTTCCGACATGCGGCGCTGGACCTCGCACTCATATGAGCTGTAGCTAGGGCTCCGGACTCGTTGGAGAAAGACTGGAGCAGGACATACCACATCCTAGTTTCCAGTGTGAGGAGGCCCAAATCTGTGACTTTAGGCTAAGAGTTAAGAGCTCAGTTTGAAGGCGTGCGAAGGCCACAATTCCGAGGGCAAGATGTTGTCATTGCTGCCCTGTCTGTAGAAATTGCATGCACTTGTATGTTTAGAGTTTGTGTTGCTTGTGCTTTCAATGGCTGGCTACAGTGAAACTAGGCTCTGCAGCAAAGCGGTTGCTGTGCATGGTGCCCGGCTGACAATTGACAACAACACTTCAAGAAAGTTGGGAAGCAATACTCGGCAACCTGCTTCTTTTCCGGATCATACTTATATACTCACGAAGAATCGGCGCAGAAATGGAAGCGGACACAATGGCAACACAGGGACCTCAACTGCACAGCTGGCAGCCATGCATGATATAGCCCTACAATGCAAAACTTGCGGCAAAACAAAGCCATCAAAGACAGCTTGCGGCAGAACAAAGCGATGAACCACACAGCTCGCGGCAATACAAAGTCCTCACACATACAACTGGCAGCAATACCAAGCCCTTAAAGGCATAACTTGCACACTGGAGAGTGCATCTCACATGAATGAGCTGACTTCACGCACAACTGGCAAGCTCTGATTTGCAAAAGGTTTCACGGGCCCTGCGCGACTGGCGTAACTCTCTTCAAACAGGCCTGTGCAACGTTGGCCTTGCACGTATGGTGCGGTACTTAGATAGCTAAAAGCAGAAACATGTATGGTTCCTATGGGTCTGGAGTTGCCCCTGCCCATGCACCCATATTCCACCGGACGGGTGTTGCCGGGCCTGGTGACTGCCACTATGCTGCCTTGCATCCGGTTGCTCTTCTGCGCCCCGTTCAAGGCATTTTTACATCAAACATAGTGTTTGTCTGAGGATTGTTGTTTCTTCGTGTTGTGGGGGTTGCACTGCCATTTCGCTTCCTGCTTACGCGCCACGAGCTCACGGCTGATATTGCACGGGTATGTGGGCTTCATGTTCCACTCTCCTGCAAACAATCAGCTGGCGGAAGGTGTCAAATGATCACATGGAATCCAGGTTGACCAAAAGGCTAAGACAAAAACCTGAACTCCACACTGAACCGTAAACCTCAAGCCCTAAGCCCTGAACCCAAACCCTCAACCCTAAACGCGGCCTGCGTTGTATGTTAATGCTTCGAGATACCATTGCATGTCCTAAGAGCCTTGCTAAGTTTAGGAATGTATGGAGTGAAACACCGCAGGCCAGAGCCGAGGATTCGAACCACCAGAGTTCAGGCCAAAGTTTCACCCAGAACCTCGAACAGTCCAGAAAGCAGGAAAACAATTTGAAGACAAGCGTTTCAGCTGCACTTTGGTGGAAATTCCTTCACAGGCCTGATTTGGGCTTCTCTGGGCCTGCCTTGGACCCTCCTCGGAACGCTCGGAATGCTGGGAATCCACTGGGGCCTTCCTCGGAATTGGGAGTGGTTCGCTCGAAATTTTCCAGCTCGAAATTCCCTTTCTAAACTCGTCTTAACCTCCTCGGAATTGGGGGCTGTTTGCTCGAAATTCAAGCGGTTTGCCCGAAGTTGGGAGCTGTCGCTCGGAATGCTCGGAATTGCATGCTGGCCCAGAGCTCCATGCAACATGAGATTCTGTGGATTCGTTGTTTTGCAAGCTTGTGGAAACCAAATTCGCGGAATCAGCGATTTTCCTTCTAAATCATTTGAGGTGGACTTTGCAGTCTTTATTTTTGGGCCAAAGCGGGATGGTGCTCTCTCAACATTGCACTGAATGGGACGCAAGCAGTTGAGAGTCATGTGAAGCCTGATTGTTGGTGTGACATGTGGTTGGCAAGTCTGCTCATGTGTGTTCTCTGACCTGACAGATTGTTTCAGAATGTGTGTTGCAAGTTAGGTTGTGCGCTGATGGTCTAGGTGTTTTGGTACAAGCGGTTCGGTTTCTGTTCCAGCCTGTCTTGCGGAAAGTTTGCGACAACAAAGCCATCGAACAAGCAACAGAAACAGGTTTCGACGGTTGGGAGATGACCTATTCTAGTGCCTGGCAGATGTTGTCAGCGTGTTTGCAAGAAGCACTTTCGACCTGAAATCCCAAAACCAAATCTGCCGTGTGCGTGATGCTGACAGTCCCGCCCCACGTCTAGATGCGGGAAGCTTCAGAAGTGCCGAGTGTGGGTAAGCCCGCCGCGCCCCGGTGCAAACCATAGGAACCACGCACGCAGCAAAGTTAGCACATGTAGTGCTTCCGGATATTACATAGTGGAAGGCGGTTGAAGGCAATGAGTCCAAAGTCCGGGCCTGGCAAGGTCCACCCCAGATGCCAGAGAGATCCAGAGGGCTATTCACAAACGGGTGAAAGCCTATCGATGCCTGCGCAGTCACTTGCAGCAGAATTCTTGGAATCAGTTTCATGTGCCACATGGTTGTCAGTCTCTACTTGAGCAAATGCTTGCCGATCTTCAAAACGTCCGACAGCTTGTCCATCGTTGTTTGCCCTTCCGAATGTCAGCTTCCGAGTATCACCTGTGATCCAACAATGTTGGTTGCAGACCTCATCCAACGTCGACCCGACCCCGATCGTTCATGTCCCTCACTCTCGTTCTCCTTGGCGTCCAACATGTCTTGAAGGAGCGTCGTTCGCACGGCAGCAGTCAGTGTTTGTCCTTCGTGGTCCTTAGCCTTAGCCCCGTTGGCAATAATTTCTGCTGAGCAGGGGTTAATGCAGCAACCCAGGCGCAGGAGTAGACACGGGCTGGTGATTCACGAAACAAGGCGAGCCAACTGCTGAGCCCAGTATCTGCCAGTGTCAGTGTCATCTGATCCTTTGGAAAGAACATCGCATTGGACCTGTCCCTAATCTGGTCAGAGGGCTTCAGGTCCTGGATCCGTGACCTAGCCGACTCAGCCTGTGGCGTACCAAGAGGCAGAATTCCGGTTGATTGGTAGCGTTTCATTGCGAGCGCCAGCGGGAACCACGAAGAAAGCGCGCCCTCCACCCGCCTTCCGTCGCGGGGCGCAAGTGGGGCCCATGTGGGGCAAGCGGGGTGCAAGCGGGGACCGAAGAGTCTCCCTCAAAATCCACGCAGTTTGAGGGAAACTTTCTGGAAAGGTTCACGTCACTGCTGTTGAAAGCCTTACAAGTAGACAGAATGCGCGGACCTTTGCCTGGTCGAATCTCTGAATAATATGTACGTGTCACCCCGCAATTTCTTCAGCCGTGAACACGAAAACTGGAATCCCGACACCCTGTTCAACCAACAGCGGATGCGTTTTTGAAGTACGCAACGTCACTGTTCTTGTCCTTCCGCTTGTCATGGTTCAGTTGTGTTTTGTGGACGGCTGCTTTTCCTTCATCGTATTTCTGGTTTGAGAATGTTACACCAGTCGTCCAGAGCGTCTTGGTGGGCAAATGTTTGCTCCTGCTGTCAGACGCAGGCGGTGCTTGCGTTGTCACCTGCTGAAAGGCAAAGCGGGCGTCCAAAGGCTGCCAAAGTTTCGCCCTCAAATGGCTCGATGTCATGACTGACCGAGCTCAGGTTAGCCATCTCTTTAGTTAGTTACCAGCTTAGACCGCTTTGGACGGGGCTTGCTCCCGCGGGTATGTCGGTCGTCACAGAGTGTGCGTTGCGCTAGTGATCGCACGAAGTCTACAGCCAACAAGGATGTCAGAGGGCCAGCGTACGATCCAGGAACCCCACCAGTTTTTTTTCGCTTCGAAGGTCGTTTTGCATCCTGTAAACCACCTGCTATAGAGGGTGAAAACAATCGGCCTGCCATGTCCTTCTGTGCCAAATCCTGGCAACAAAGGTGTTCAGGTCATGCCATCCCCAAAGACACTCGCGACTGCTTGCCTGCTTGCGAACACCAGGAATTTTGGTGGCTCGTCACTCGTTGTACCCCTTGATCTAAACCTTGCGCATCCGCAAGCCTGTGACTGTGGCTGCTGTGGGTTGGTTGTGTTTGGCTGCGGGCTCGGTCAGGGCAATTCAGGCAAGGGGCCTTCCTGAATCCTCGGAGCACATGGCGTTGGTTTGCACAAACTGTTTTGCCCTGAAAGAACGAGGCGTTGCTGGCCGCTTGGTTCAGGCCCTATTCGAACGAGCAAGCTGAGCTGCTCGACGTCCTGGAGGCAGGGATTCCGAGTAACAGTGACAGTAATAGTGATAGCAACAGCAATAGGTGTATGCATTTATAGTTATGGCTATATATTAGATATAATTTTATAGTTGTAGTAGTATTCACCGTAACAGTAGCAGTAGCAGTATGAGTGCGAGTAATAGTAACACTTATAGAAAACGTACAAGCAATAGTGAGAGGAATACTAATAGCCATTATCAGTAACTCTCGTATGAAGTAATTGTAACGCTAGTATGTGTCGTAGCAGTCCATCGAGACGTGTCAAGTCGTTTTTGTCGGCAGGTGTCACTTTCATTGGTCCGGTTCTTGCTGTTCGCCGCTGTGGCTGCACTTCTCATTCTGGAGACGACCGAAGACACTACGCACGCGCTGCTCTGCTGAAACCCTGAAAACCCAAAGGAAAGCTCCCAGGCCTTAAACCCGGAAATCTCGATTTTGATTCAATGTCTTGACGCTGCCCCCAGCAGAGGGTGGCCTACTCGCTCTTCTCCGTGTTGTTGCTTGCGTGTGGGTACTTCGCCATCCACTTCGCCGCCCAGGTCCGCATGATGTTCAGCTTTCTCTGAAATGCGTCCATGTTGAGCAAAGTCAATGTGACCCGAACTTTGATCTGACCATAGATATCGGGGAACGTAGAAAGGCTCGGATGGTCTTCTCCAGCACCAAAGGGGAAACTACAGGAATGTTCAAAACTAGAAGGCAGCAACTCAGACTAAATGCTAAACCCAAACCCTAAGCTGTTCTAGAAGCTAAAAAGTGTTTAGCTTAAATTTAAGGCTAAACCCAAAACCCTACTCACTGCATCTTCAGAAAATTGAATTGGCAGGTGCTCAGAGGCATGGTGACTGGCGGTACTCCACATTCCTCCCGCTCAACATCTCTAGGCAGGACTTTTCGTAAAAACTGGAAATTCGGTGTCCTTTTTTTTTTGGGGGGGGGGGG